AAATACAAGTAACTACAAGAGACATTTAGATTAGATTTAAGCCCATATATAGATTTGCACACCTTATAAGACCACATTTACTCAAATTTTAAATTATGAAAATTCCCATGAGCCTTTGCTGCCTGAGCATATGTTGAATTTTCTCCACGTCCATGGGCTGAAAAAAAAAAGAATGTGGGCAAAACTCTGGCTGCTAACTTAATCATAAAAATAAAACAACTTTACTTAAGTATTTGCATTTCTTATATTATTGTATTTGGCCCGCGGCCTCAGATTGATTTTAAAAAAGTTTGGGCCCCCCTGGTTTAAATCCTTCCTTACTTTACTCTGTTATGATGTTGAAGAATTTTCTAATTATGAGTTTGTGCTGCTGTGGTTCTCSTCTGCACAGGACTTCTGTTTGCATTAAACGTTTTCTTTATTACATCACATCAGGAAAAAGACAAACTTGGTCACTGCAGCACTGAAGCAAAAAATAAAGTCTAATCAAAAACACTAAAATCGTGTATTTTGACAAATACTGTAGTTTTTACGAACATTTATTCAGTCAAATATATTGTGTTTGATCTTTTATAACCAGAGAGCAAAATCTAAATAAAGAAAAGTTGGTGAGTTTGACTGAAAACTATAGTTTTACTCAGATTTAAGGTCAGACGGTGAAAAGTGTTTTTCTGTTTTGACACAGAAAATATCTGGTCTGATGCTGAAATGAAGACAGAGAAACTCAAACAGTTTGACTAAAATAAAAACTTTCGAAGCCACCATGTTTTATAACTTGTGTTTTTGAAGCACCTGCAGAGAAACAGTCGATCTTTTTATCTGAAGGCAGAAATTTTGGACAAACATGATGTTCGGACTGCGTCCCCCGATGAGACGGTCTCTTACAGAAACCTCTGACATGTGTCTTTTTAGGGGAGCTAACATTCAGGGAAAGGTCATTATTATTTATATCACTATCATCATCATCATCATCATCATCATCATTAGCAGCAACAGCAGCAGCACCATTAGGAGATCAAAGTGAGCAGCACGCTGGCAGGAAGGAGGCACATTACCTTGACCACCAAAACAAGCACTCAGGAAACTGTGTGGACACCAAGGAATGTAGCCAGCTAGCATCATGGCAACTAAAGCTCCTAAACATGATGGCAAAGCTCTTCTGACACTTTATTTGGGCCAAAAATGCAGGCTCGGGGCAGGGGGGTTTATATCCAAAAAATGAAATCTTAAATCTGTCTTTAGTTGTTTGAGCCGTGTGCAGAGTTACCTTTGTTCCAAACTGCAAAAAGGGGCGAAACAAAAGAGATCAAGAAGTTGAGAAGAAACCAAGATTAAACAAAAGAGCACAGAATATTAGCAACACTCGTGCAACATTTCTTTTCATCGCTTCAGTCAGATAAAATATAAATAYATACGAACCTTTTTACTGCAGAAAGTTTTTGCTAAAATGTGTTTTGAGACGTTAGTGAAATGCAAAAACAAGTTGTTTTTGTTTGGTGTTATTGTGGCTACATTCCTGCCTTATCCCACTGAGTCTTGCTGTTTTTTTTTCCTACCTTTAAAGTTCGGTCGGATTCTGGCGTCGTAACCTGAAACTTTGCCCATGAGCTTGTCCAGAAACTCAGACGGCGGCATCGGGGAGGCAGCTTTCCTCGCCGCGGCTTCTTTCGATGCCGCTAAACTGAAAAAGACAGAAAGTTCGGCTCCATCAGGGACAGGATATGTTTAAAAAAAACATAAAAGTTTCAAACTTCCAGGGAATTTCAATTCAAGCTTTGCAACAGTTTTACACGAATGTCGTTCATGTGACACGTTAGCATTGTTAGCATCTTTGTTAGCATTGTTAGCATCTTTGTTAGCATTGTTAGCATCTTTTACAGTAAGTATAGCAGCCTCTGGGTTTGTTGCTTTTCAGCCAAGCAGCAGCTACACTGTAAAAAATAACTTGTAAGATTTACTTGAGAAAATCCTGTAAACGATTTGCACTAACGTTTGGTAAGTAAAATTAAAT